CTTGCTTGCAACATTAGTAAACAAGATGAAGATAGGTAGATGCACCCCAGTGCAAAAATCTCACAGGGTGGAAGCAAGGGCAGCAAAGGTAGGAAGACTTGGGTCAAGGTCCCACTTGCAAGCACGAGGCGACATGCCTACAGGTCCATGCCTAACTCTCCCCCAGAATCACCAACAATTCAGCCTGTTGAGGCACCACCTCCTTGGGAAGACTTTCCTGACAATACTTATGAGCAGGACCAAGGCTCCTTTGAGCCTTTGCAACTCCCAAAAACCATGGCAAGTTCATGTACAATGTTGGAGTGTCATTTAAACTATGGCTAAGCATTCAAAATACAGAGTCAAAATGACTACCTCAGGCAATGGCTGCCAAGGCAGGAATCATATCTACATCACCTCCTTGATCGAGAAGCTCCACCAGAAGACAGGAGATGCATCATCTGCGAACAGGATGGGGTGTACAAATGTCAAGATTGTCTTGGCGAGCCACTCTATTGCACGGGCTGTTGCAGGAGTCAACATCGTAGCAATCCTTTCCACTGGATCAGTCAATGGAATGGGCGATTCTTTGAGCGGAGTTGTCTCGCTCATGTGGGACTCATTATACACTTGGCCATGATGGCAAACAATGTCCGGAGGTCACTGATCGGTGAATTTGTTTGAAGAAGATGAACCTGAAGACCTGCTCGAGCCTGAAGATCTGCCATTTGTGTCCGGACCCGAGTTCCAGCCAAAGGAAAACACCATGGTCATTGTAGACAAGTCCGGAGTTCATCGCCTGGAGATTCGATGTTGTGAATGTCCGAATGCCATGAGTCCGGACATTCAAATGTTTCGACACAGATTTTTCCCTGCATCTTTCAACAGGCCAAAGACTGTGTTCACCTTCAGAGTGCTCAATGATTTTCTACTGGACAGCCTTGAATGCGGCACCTCGGCGATGAACTATTACAGCAAGCTCCGGCGAATGACCTCCAGCATGTTTCCACACCTTGTTCCGGTAATGCCTTACCCTCTTCATCTACTGGACATCATATTGACAAAGCACATTGCAAGGACCGATACAGAGAGCTCATGAGGGTCGCTCGACAGTGGAGGCAGTTGAAGACAATGAAATGGCATGGCTTTGGCCATCGTTCTGATAACCCGAGCACAGGAGAACTCGCATTATTTTGCCCGGCGTGTCCTCAGCCAGGGATTAATGTGCTGTTGTCAGAGGATGAATTGCTTGATGAGTGAGTCCTATTCTCAACCAATGTGGCCTCCATAATAATACTAGCGATCCAAGCTGGAAATACACCCGGTCATTTGTGATGGATGGAAATTTCAAAGCCGAACATCTGCATCCCATTAAGCCATTCGATGAAGTTTGGCTTTCCGATGGGCTTGGATTCATGGTAGGAAAGGACAGGTATAAAATGCATCTGGCAGAGGCTGCTGACATGGTGGAAAAATCAAGCTGCAACAACCACCGGGCAGTAAATCAAGCTAATGCTGCTCGGCACAAGCTGGAGTCCACCGGTATCGGGGGAGTTGCCTGTGCCAGACACGGTTGCTTTGTCCCTCACTCCATGGTGGATTTTCAGAAAGGCGAAAGGCAAGCCACATCCACCATTCCTCATTCACGAGTTAACCATGGGTCACTTGCAGACAAATGAACATGGACTACGCCCTTTGCGAGGCTTCCCGGCACAACATGGAAGGCATCACCAGGGCTGTCACCTTCTATGATATTAATTGTCAATACAACAAACACTTTCGGGTTCGGGTGGATCGAAGTCGATTTCTAGACATGGCACCACAACTAACCATCATTCCCGGAATTGGGTTGTGTTACAATAACATGTAACCGAGAACCCCTCCTACGGAGGTCATCATGACCTTAGCCCCTATCCCACCATATGCACCGTCTTGGAAGACTTACCGACTCAACGGAGACTCGTAGAGATGCCTAGAATGGCCTGGATGCCGTTAGATGACCTAGACCAGCCTAGGCAACATCTGGACGGACCTTGATGATCCTCGACCCGGATCATGAGGAAGCTCTGCCTCATGGTCAGAAGACAAGCCGCATGCCTCAGCATGCGCAGTTAGACTCAAAGGCATGCTACGCCTTGAGGACAGATAAGAGAGGCATGGTAAGCCTCATGTATAGATAATCGACCACATGGCATCAGATAAGATGCCCTTGTATAGACACACTTACAGCTACCTACCGAACGTAGTATTGGTCTGTGCACACGGACGACAGTATATAGAGCAGACAGAATCATGTATATTCCCTACTTGATTCTACTAGGTTTTCATCAGAACTTCCTCTGTGTGATCATCCCAATCACTCAGTCTAAGCCGCACCTTAAGGAAAGCCGACGCTACCTTAAGTGGAACCCCCGAACCTCTCATTCGAGAGAAGATCCCCGTCTCTCCAATAGCGAGCCCGCTATCAGATTAGGCAATCCGCCTAGGGAGAGCTCGAACTATCCTAGTCCGTAACAGTTGTGGCACATTCATGGCCATCAGGACAGCTGCTATGTCCGATATGCTTCTAACTTTATTGAAGGCATTGGTCGGATCGATGGAGAAATCATGGAGACGCTATGGGCATGGCTCAATCTGATCTCCCCTGCTGCTTGGGGAATGTCATCTCCACACCGAAAGGAATGCCTTGATTATCAGATGAATGACTCCAATTTCTGCAAGATGATTCGCATGAAAAGGACTCTATGCCGGAAATACAAGCTGGCGAGGAATGGCATCTTGGAAAGTGGAAAGGCATTTGACAGACTCGATGAAGCAGCACCCTCACATTTGAAGACAGAATGGTTAGCCAGGGAGAGGATAGCTCAGTCAAGCAGATTGAATGATCCTGCGGCGATGGATGAATATGAGATCAATATAAAAAAGGGTACGTTGAGTTCCATTGTCTCCATCGAGGTCTGAATTAATATTGCACTCAGCACCAAGCAAAAAGGAGATCGAGCTTAGATTATTAGAGGAGGGTAACGCCCGCAATGCAGCACCCTCTCGCAGATCTGTGGCGACGTGGATATCAACAGGGTTAGCAATTGAAGAGGCTCAGATTGCATTGCTCATCGAGGTCCGAAGGATCGGAAGAAGATCCACTGAGACACAGAGATTAGACATTGCCCGTCAACGCGATCGGCTCCAAGGCCAGATAGATGGATTTGCTCGGTCTGCTCTAACACATCTCGGGGAGGGATTTGATGCAGATGATGAACCTGAGGACTTGAACGTAGACATTCTAGATGATCTCGATGATGACCCGGTGGATTTCACAGAGACATCTCATACATGGACAAACTCTCCCGAGCTCACTGTAATCCCGTTGCCATCAAACCTGGGGGTTGATAGATGCAGACGATGCATGGCAGAGGATCTGATTCCCCTGGAGATGTCTCTTCGTGAAGGGCAGGCCAATGATGCCCTTCACAATCTCCGCATTTACCTTTGCAACAAGGCCATCCTGTTCCGAACAACCGTTAGGCAGGCCAAATCCCAGGCCCTGAAAACTCGAGCTTGGTCCCAGGTGACGTCGGTGCAGCAGGCAGTCTCCCTCCATGCCAGCATATATACAAAGACCAGGAAGCAAATAATGAAACTTGAGCCGGGGCAAGACCAGCTTCAGAAATACAAACCCCTGCTTCATGAGCAACTCAAAATCAGCACTGCAGTGGGCGACCCAAATGCCCGAGGTCAACGAAATGAATCTTTGGCTTGGTTTTGGTCTGTTGAAGTCGACCTCGGGGGTCCTGATCAATCGTGGAATGAGGAATGTGAGTTCCTGCTTGCATGTCATATCCCACGGTTACCTGACTGGACCCATGCCAAGTTTACCGAGTCCATTGGCTTCAGGCAAAGGCACTATGAGATCGATGGAGGGAAGAAATGATATTGGTCAAATTGGAGATGGATTGGACATGTAAGTTCTTTTTGTGGAAAGCAACCCAATGGGGCGACCACATGCAGGAATCATTGGAGAAACGCCTTCTGGGTCACGGATGCTATGCCGGAAGGCAATCACGAATGTATTCATTGCTCGCACAGGATGCGCAGGCAGCTTTTCAAGACCTACAAAACGTGTTGATAGAGGCTGGAGATGAATGAACATTGTTTTCTCATGAAGTCCCTTTTTCCACATACATAATTGAGGCCCGGGAATTGTCCGGGTCAGCCCATGTCGGAGTTTGAATTTCGTATCCATCCATCAGTGATTCTTATCTTCACATCTTCACCATCTTTCACTTGCATTGCCAGCGCCATAGTCCTGTATTAGCCATGCCTGCAACTCCTGCATCCACTTCTGGCACTCTGAATGCCGGAAGCCATTACCGACCCCTGAAGCTGAGCCTTGGAACTATTTCCTGCACATTGGCAATGGCTGGATCGCGGGTCCGTGCATGCATCTCTCAATATCAGACGGAAGCTGCCAACAATGGTCTATCTTCTGACCGGATAAAGTATTTTAAAGCTGGGCTGCAATGGGAGATGAATGTATGTTACCACTGCCCTGATGACTTTGTTGGTCAATGCTAAAAATTTGAGCAGACTTTTGTCACACCACTCCTGCAGTACTCAGCTTCACAGAATATCGTGTCGGTTCTTCCGGTCCCTGTCGCTTATATCCTTAAGTTGTATCCCATGCTAACCTGGAACACGGTTCCGGACGACGTCTTTTCATTCCACCTCCTTTCATTTGATGATGAGGCAATTGCAGGACATCCGTCCCGGATTGTGTTTGCATATACATGTCCATGGTGGATGGGAAACACCACAATCCCGGATCAACCATGGCAGTGGGATGAAATAATGGCTTCCTGCGTCTCTCACTACCAGTATTGGGCGGTAAGATGTTAGCTGAATTGCCTTGATTGATGACTTATCTGTTCTAGCTTAATGTTGAGGATGATGCTTTGGTTCTTCCAGAGAAGTTGAGAAACACTTCGACTCCACCACTTATGGGACTGAGGTGGATTAAAGAACGCATGGAAGCATTGATGGAGGAGCAAGATCAGGGCATCAAAGCCAAGATGGCAGAGGTGAAGATGTACACTGACATGTTAGAGAAATTGAGGAAAGGCAAAGGAGTGTAGTCCCATTCAGTGTTCATTGTATACAAGATGTAAAATATTCTATGCATTCAAAAATCTTGCACCCGAGTCCCGGAAGCCCAGGTCCCGAGTCCCGAATTTCGGAGTTCGGGGTTCGGCGACCCGGAGCTCGGCAACTGTGTTGGGTGTCAGGGTATCCGGAGCATTGGAGATAGCATGTGTCAGTATTTTGCGTTTCATGGTTCATGTTTGGCTGACACATGCAATCTCCAATGCTCCAGATACCCTGACACCCAACACAGTTGCCGAGCTCCGGGTCACCGAACCCCGAACTCCGAAATTCGGGACTCGGGACTCGGGTTTCGGGACTCGGGACCTGGGTTTCGGGACTCGGGACTCGGAGCTCGTGACCTGGGACTCGACAGTGTTCTGAATACCGAGTCCCTGACGCCCGATTCTATAATCACGAAAGATTCCATAATCACGAAAGATGAACCATGAAACGCAGAATACTGACACATGCTATCTCCAATGCTCCGGATACCCTGACACCCAACACAGTTGCCGAGCTCCGGGTCACCGAACCCCGAACTCCGAAATTCGGGACTCGGGACTCGGGCTTCGGGACTCGGTGACCCGGAGCTCGGCAACTGTGTTGGGTGTCAGGGTATCCGGAGCATTGGAGATAGCATGTGTCAGTATTCTGCGTTTCATGGTTCATCTTTCGTGATTATGGAATCTTTCGTGATTATAGAATCGGGCGTCAGGGACTCGGTATTTAGAACACTGTCGAGTCCCAGGTCACGAGCTCCGAGTCCCGAGTCCCGAAACCCAGGTCCTGAGTCCCGAATTTCGGAGTTCGGGGTTCGGCAACCCGGAGCTCGGCAACTGTGTTGGGTGTCAGGGTATCCGGAACATTGGAGATCGCATGTGTCAGCCAAACATGAACCATGAAATGCAAAATACTGACACATGCGATCTCCAATGCTCCGGATACCCTGACACCCAACACAGTTGCCGAGCTCCGGGTCGCCGAACCCCGAACTCCGAAATTCGGGACTCGGGACCTGGGCTTCCGGGACTCGGTATTCAGAACAGTGTCGAGTCCCGAGTTCACAATGTCGGGGTTCAGGGTTTTGTCAAATGTGTACGGCAATAACAAATGTTAATTTGAGCATATTGATACATCTTCCCCCAGTCTCAAATATCAAGTGCTGAGGTCCGGGTGTCGGGACTCAGTACCCCGGCACTCGGGACTCCCATATGTCAAGTCCCAAGTTCCGATTATCGAATACCGAGGCTCGCATCCAAATTATTCAGTCCCATATATCACTTCGCAAATGCTCACAATTGAGTATTGAGGTCCAGATAACTATTGGTACATGGTATTCATTTGTTGGAATGTATATAGGTCACAATGCATGCTCTTTGTTTGATCTTTCACACACTGTATGGACCATCCACACTAGCCCATCCACATGATGGAACACCAGCGTAAATGTGAACAGAATCCCTCATATACCATGCCCAAGCAATCCGATCCCCTTCCACATCATAAACTCCATGTCTCACAATCCTTCCGGAAAACGCAATCATACAGCCGGAATTGTACTTGAACTCCAGCTGAAGGCTTGGCATTGTCATCCGAGCATTAGAATAGTTCCCCACGGTGGTTAGAATGTCGAAGCATTCAGCAATAGACAAATGGTCTCGATGATTTGGGGTTTCCCGATTGGAAATGATGGAGAGGGTGTTAAACACCGATGCCCAGTACTGCAGGGCCTCCGGCATCTGTGGCAGATCCTTGCTTACTGCTATATGTCCTAGGTTTGACAAGGTTCGCAACCCTGCCCAGTACTGCTCAGGATGCATGACTCTGAGTGCCGCGGACGCGATGGCTGCTGGCCTTGAAATGGCTTTGAGGATATTCTCGCAGGAAGGTCCCTTCAATGATGCAGATACCTCCGGATCGGACACATTCTTTGGGATTGGTGAGTATGACTGCCGGAATCACCATCTCATCAGATCCTACCTCGTGTCCCTGTTGAAACCATGCCGGAGATAAATTGATGCATCCGGGAGTTGCCCCAACATCTTCCGAGCCCCGGTTGAACCACTTTTGATTAGTTCGCCAATTGCCATCAGCCCTTACACTTTTTTCGAGGCTTGGAGCGAGCAAATTGGTGGCTTCCCTGATTTCCTTCTGTAGGTTCCATTTGATATTCAATATCCATTGAGTAACAATGTATATTACACACCTGGGTGGTGTCGGTCAGGGCGTCTGGGAGGTACCATGCGATGATGGCACCGGATGCATCGAGAATTGTGGCAGGTTCATCGACCAACCTTTTGCCTTCATGGCCAGGAGGACACCTCTCAAGCAACCTAGCCTCTCTCTGTTCATTATGCCCGGTGTCCTTCGGGGAGATCAATTTGCTATATCTTGCAATATCCACCTGCATCTGAACTGTCATGCAGGAATTTGAATGATAAAATGAATTTTCCGAATCTGCAGGAAGACCCACTGGGATTTTTATATGCCTTTATGAGTACATCAGCCAAGCGATCGCACGCCATCACCAGATCAGTGTCTAGGTTGGGGGAAGGTATGACTGGGCCTCCTCCAGTCTTCTCTGCCTTGAATTTCTGTTCGGTATATTCCCCTGCTTCATAAGTCACAGTCAGGGCCCAAGTGCGCCAGATGTTTATACTATCAGGAGTGGAAGGGGAAGAACCGTTCATGCTGGATGTTAATCTTGGGAAATCAGACACTGAATGCTGAATGTCCGGACTTTGGTGTTAAAGGGGGTGGAGATAGAGAGGATCAGATAAGGGAGCCTGAGATAATTTTGGCTGTCAAAGATGTATTATTATCCATTGCTCAATGAAATACTACCTGATTGGAAGTGTGCTGGTCATCAGATATTCATTTGTCGACTCCCGGGTCCCGGAACTCGGAAGTCGGTACGGTTGACCCAAATTTGGGTGGTCGGAACTTGGCTTCTTGTAGGGAAACACAAGCCTCGCACCCCGGATTCCAAATTCTGCAAGACAACCTGTGCACCATCAAAGACCATGTCAGGAGATCACCTGCTGCTCCGGGAACTCGGTAACTTTGATTTATTACCTCCTCTGAGTACGGTTGACTCACATTTTGGTGGTCGGAACTTGGCTTCTCGTAGGGCAACACAAGCTTCGCACCCCGGATTCCACATTCTGCAAGACAACCTACACACCATCAAAGGCCATGTCAAGAGAGCACCTGCTGCTCTCTTCAGAAACATCTCAACTTCGGTTGGCCATTTAACACGGAAAGTATTAACTAAATTATGTGTTGAGTTCCGGGTCCCGGAACTCGGAACTCGGAGCTCGGTACAGTTGACTCAAATTCTGGTGGTCGGAACTTGGCTTCTCGTAGGGCAACACAAGCTTCGCACCCCGGATTCCACATTCTGCAAGACAACCTGTGCACCATCAAAGGCCATGTCAGGAGATCACCTGCTGCTCCGGGAACTTGGTAACTTTGATTTATTACCTCCTCTGATTTGGTTGATGTACAACTACCTCAGCTCCATCATGTCTACAATTATGATACACATGGGCCCACCCATCTATATTTTATACCACCCTTGGCCCACCCGTCTAATACAACATCCCATACAACACCCTCGGCCCACCCGTCTAATTAATATGCGTCTGGGCCCACCCGTCTAATACAATATTTTATAATACCCTCGGCCCACCCGTCTAATTTAATATGTGTCTGGGCCCACCCGTGAATGTGATAACAAGTACCTACCCATCTATCTCATACACATCTACCTTAATACACCCATCTGCATAATATCCAACTACCTCGGCCCACCCGTCTACCTAATATTCATGTACATCGGCCCACTCATCTACTCTATATATTCCCTGCATGGGCCCACCCGTCTCCATCGGGAATAATTTGCCTCCCGGCCCATCCGTCATAGTCGAGGATATTTTTATCATGGGCCCATGGTCCGCTGGCCCGTATCATACGGGATATTATGCATGTCCGTTCCCTCGTATTATACGGAGATAGGTCACTGTAATATGTGCCCCGTTTTCTCCGTAACGGCTCACTGCTGCTTAGCTTTTCAGCACTCAAGCAAGCATATCGTGTCCAGACCCACACTAGGTGGGCTGGGATATGGCCCACCTCCCCTCAGTACCCACGAATTCAACACGTCGATCCTCTCATTCTCAACCGCTCATTTGTTAAACTCACCTCCTCTTTCCCCAAGCGTCTCACAGGTCTCATCCTCGGCCTCCATACTCATCACATCCCACTGAATCAGCATCTCTTTCGCCTCACCAAAGTCGACTCTCCAGACTGTCTCCACTGCCCACAGACAGAAGAGACCATCCATCACTACCTGCTCAAATGTCCGCAGTATCAGCGAGAACGCCACATATTAGCCTGTGCACTAGGAAGAAAGTCCAGCTCCCTCTCATACCTCCTAGCAGACCCTGACACCATCTCCCATCTAACACGCTACGTGAACACTACTCGTCATCTGACACCCACGCTAGGTGAAGTTTGTATGCCTATTCCGAGAGCAGATTGACATTCCTGGCGCAGACACGTCTAAATACCATGCAAGAGTCACCTACACTAGACAACGCAATAATCCTCCCCAACCGCCTAATGCACCCAACATCCTATCCCCACCTAATATGAAAACATTCGCTCGTCAACACGAGATCACCGGCTCAGTCCTGGGGACCATGACCAACTGAATCCAAAGTAACCTTCACTGACAAACCTGGCGCACACCAACCCTGCCACATGGTCTCGAAGCCTGTCCCCCAGATTACTTACTATTCATGTTATACACCTCACCTGATCTCTGTTTGGTCTGCGCAAGTGGCCGAGCATGCGTTATCACCTCCCACGTTAGTTTCTTCATCACGCGATCTTTACTTAAAGTCACCTCTTCCGTGCTTCATTGCCCATCTAAAACGGCTGGCGGGAACAGCGGATTGGTGGGGGTACACCCTACACCAATGCATTTGGGAATCCAACGGAGAGCATGGAGCATGGGGCTCCTAGACTACATAGTACTGTCCTACATAGAGTATCACTCTCAATGGACAAAAATTGGATTTTTTTTTAAAAAAAAACCAGTCAGTGGCAGACTTGTAGTGCACTTTTAAGTAATGATGTTCATGGATCTTTTGATACACGCAAAGTCAGAATTGAATAACAGCAAGGAAAGATAATCACCTAGTCATGTGCTGTAATTTTTAACCATGTTGTTCCCTCCGGCAATGGTATGTTGTGGGAGGGAAGGAAGTGATTAAGAAATGTTGCGAGCTTCTTCCGGTACTGGTGAAAGGCGTGTGATGACTTGTTTTCTTCCTCCACTTGCACAAAGCTTGTATGATTCTTGAGGGGTGAACCAATATGAAGATGTTCTTCAAACAGCTCGTCATCATCCTCATCCATATCCTCGAGTTCATCCCACGAGAGCAGGACTTTGCATCGTTCCTCATCAAGGTACTCAATATGGCTACTAATGAATCCGGAGACAACACTCCTATGATCAAGCTCAAGGATCTATTAATTAATATTACACAAAATCAGTGGTGCAGAGCGAAATACCAATTAACACACCTGATCAGCGATATTCTTATGATTGGTCTGCCATAGATACCACTTTTTGATTGACCCGTGTTGCTTCTCATTTGGTCAAGTACTGAAGTTGCGGGCAGCACCTTTCGCCATGATGTCATCGAATATATGCTTTCTGGAATGAATCTTAGAAAAGTTCCAGTTTTTGATCATGTCAGGATCGGTCTCTTTGACAATTTTGATGTACTCCTGAGATAGTGAATTGATAGTTAGTATATGTGAACCAGTCTCAGAATCACAGTGGCACATACCTCTAAGTGGTTCTGAAACTCAAATACCTCAGCCCTCCCCACAGCAATTGTGCTTTTGGTTTGGACCTCGAGTGAAATATACATGTCGATATGTAAGTAGCTTGCTATGCACTGCAGTAGTGCATAACCGGCTTCATCCTCTGTGTGCGCAAGTATGTTCTGGGCAGTGTACAATATTTGCTATCAGAATCAGAGGAGTGACTTCATCAATATGAAGAACTGATAGCTGTAAAGTCACAGCATACCTTGGAGATATCGTGAAGTTTGTTGCTGTCACTATATGTAATGTTAGTAACCCGATCAAAGTGGTTTAAATTGTGCCATCGCGGTGTAGGAATACAACACAGAGTGGGGCTATACAAAGATGGCTCCAAACTGATATCTATATGTTGTGGTCTTGCACTGCCTGGTCTGCTATACTTGGTGAGACAAGTGCATTTGACCCAGGGGTCTGCGGTCTGGGAATAGTTTTGGGGGTCAGTGAGTGATGTGGGGTCAATAGTCCGAGCGCGGGAAACAATGTCCGAAGGTATAATTACGATGTCTGATGCAAAAAGCGTCGGGTCCGATGTTTTCGGGGTTTCGGGTTATCGGGTTCGGGGTATCGGAAACTAATAGCAACACTATAGCAAGCGTCGGGAAAGCGAGAGGTGTGCGCAATAATAACGATGACGGGTACGGGCGGTGAAGGAACGATGATATTCGCAATGTCAACTAAGAACTACAAAATATCGGGTTTGACCCCTAAGTGTCGGAGAACGGCTCTCCTCTACTTGGATGATGGTAATGCTATGGGGAGTCCAATATTTATGTAGATACATAGAAGTCCGGAACCATGTAGGCGAAAGTAGTAGCGCAATATTTTCGGGTCCGATGTCCTATGTAATAAGACATGAGGTGCTGCGGACATGTAATAATGTGGTCTACAATGTTAGCAATGTGAAAACAAGTAACTACGCACCTAGTGGGGCTAGCAAAATGACACAGGACATAGGTAGGAAAGTGTGCACGATATCCGATAGTCCGATGTGATGTCCGATGTCCGATGATTTTCGGGTTCGGTGTGTATTGAGTCGGATATGATAGGGAATGATTCGGGTAATGATTAGCATTCAACATGCATCGGAAATTAGACCTCTACGAGGCCACGGAGATGTCAGTCTCTACATCACATATGAACTTTGAATCCTGACTGTCCCCAGTCAGTGTACTACTTGAGCGAACGCGAGGGAAGGATAGGAGGTCTAAACATGATATGTGCGGAGATGTCAGTCTCTACATCGGATAGATCGGGGTGCATAGGCTCCGAGAAGTTCTGCGGGCACTTGTATTTGACCGGGGTCAAAATTTCCTGAATGGTGGATAGGCGCGAAGAGGTGACCGCTCTTCAGAATTCTTCCAAGACTTCGTTTCTTGCGACATGTTCTTTAGTAGGCCTGAGTAACCTACCGGTTGTCTCAGATGATCCCCTCGTGGTGGGCTCCAGTTGTAGATGAGGAATTGGTAGTGTGGTGATAAGGGTGGTATGAGATATACTCAAATAGTCCTCAATGAGCGAGATACGTGTCGACCCAAGGGGATTGCTACTGAGAAGGTTCCTCTAAGTATATGTGTGGAGGGAAACACTGGGCCGGGCGCTTGGTCAGGCCTGGTAAGGCATGCGACGATGAGCAAACGAAAGCGACATGAAGCGCTGGTGAGCGATGGCGGGCGACGATAAGCGGCGAAGCGCAACTTATAATGGAAGCACACGCTGAGAGGGAGTGATGCGCGCGTGCGGGTGGTGGAGCGGAGCGACTCTTAATGAACTAATTTGGCAGGGTTTCTAGTAATGTACGGCCGCGGCGCTTGTATTGTACTTAGATAATTAAGAGATATGAGGGAGAGATTTTTAGACTTAAAGTCCAATGATGTGCGGGCAGAAAGATGATCATTACCCAGTTTAGGTGCGTATATATATACTAAGTAATACTAAGCGCTGTCAAGCACTAAAGCGAACCGAGAAGTGAAGCAGATACAAGATAATATGTAATGTAAGGGTCCATAACGGAAAACATATGAGATATGGCCATAAGCGCCGGAGATATGTCAGAATAATTGGAAATAGAATGGGAATATGCACCGACGAACCAAACGGACATGGAATGGATGGACGGAGGACGAGCGACGGAACCAAGGATGCGCGACCGAAGTGCTCGTGTGCGCGAGCGGCCGACAGAGCGCTCAAGTGTGCTGGATGAGATATGAGTCGCGCTATATTAGGAAGTGATAGAGACGATGGGAATTTAGATCCCTGCAAGCCCACAGAGATATTAGTCTCTACAGCGGGAAGGCATCGAATCTGTGAGGAATTAATAAATAGGATTAGTCTGATAGTGCAGAGTGAGATAAATCATTAAAAACCCACTGGTCATCCATTTGTTTCTCAGCGCTGCGTCCAAGGGCCGCGATGCACCGTTTGAGTTCACCAAACAAATGTTTCCATTGACCCATGTGATAGATGTGCAAGTGGTCCTGTGAAATTGTGTCATGAGGATCGGAATTTGGGACACTCCAAAAGACGTTCTATAATGTAATGAGTTAGATGCGACCATTATTAGTACATTTAATTGCAAGCGCTGACCTTAACAGGCTGCAGGCCCTGTTCTTTGAGTGCCTTTTCTCCAGCTGCATGGTCCCTGGTCCATAACTCCACAAAAGCTTTTGCATTGTTGGATGATCAAGTTGGGTAAGTGGAAGCATTGTCATATAGCTTGTCTGAAGGGACAAGGCAGATAGGGCAGGGGCAGTGACAATTGGTCCCTTGTATCAGTGCCATCATGCATCTGTTGAGAGATTAAATCAGAAAACGACATCAGAAATTAGTATGAAATGAAGTACTGCTCTTCATAGTCAGCTGATAAGAGCAGAATGAATGCATACAGCCACCTCATGATGCCATCATAGCACACATATGCATACCCCATCTCAGCATAGATTATAATATTTTCGAGTAGCTTGAGGAATGACTTGTGCCATACAACCCGTTTGAGATTGACGTACATGAGTTTGCCATCCTCCTTGGAGTCATCAGGTACCTGCACGAAAGAATTGTTTCACCAGTGAAACTCGACGGAACTAAGATTCACTTACTATTGGTAGCCACCCAACCATTCACCCACCATCGAGCCCATCGGTATTTCTGATACCAACAGGCAAGTTTCCACATCGAGCGAAGACCGGGTATGCCTTAACCATGCCAGCAGAAGAGAGATGTGTTTTATCTGCATATAATATAAATGCAAATGGCACACCATTTTCGGGCAAAGATGACTGTGATTTAAACATATGGAAAATGGTGTTACTTAATAGATACAAATGAACAATAGTAGTAAGACATGGCATACTTGTACATTCCACCACCTATCTGCAGTCCAAGGTTCATGTACAAAGCGCTCATAGCGTGTACTGTCATGCTTGTATAATCGCTGCGCATCCCAAACAAAATGTGGCATCAGTAAAGGGTCCTGCAGTAAGTCCAGGGCCCAATCCCACAATGGCCGCATATACATGTTGTACTCAAGGTCCTCTCACTTGTGCTGAACGGTGATGGTATGTTTCTCGAACTAAGGCAACTAATATGACTGCAAAGTAAGAACATCTTGTGATTCTCTCACTGGTGTCATCTGAGTGGCTGCCCTATCCCAGGCTTTGGAAACATCTCCATGCAACTTGAAAGTGAATTTCGTTTGGCCATCCGCAATCCTCCAGATGAGCTGCAATGCTCATCTGTCTGATTTTTGTTCAAAGCAGCTCCATGTGCAAGCTCGGCAAACTCGAAGTCCACATGACAAGTGAAGGGCTGCCAGGGTTGTTCGTCGATGATGGGCAGCTGTGGATGCTCTTTGCGTCCAAAAGTGGAGAATATCTCCACAGAAGTCGTGCGGCCACTGTGCGGGTGGTACTCTGTCTTGAAAGTGTCAAGATTGGAGCGAGCTGAAGGCACAGTTGGGAGTGATGACAGCATATTTGGAATAGGTGTGGTGCCCATGCTTGTATCTGATGCCGAACCTGGATAATCAGGGTCTTGGAGGGGAACACATCAAGAGTCAGAATAGCACATACGTTGGTGTGCATCTCCACTGATGCTCATTGTATCAATGAGATCTGAACCATCTTCAGACCATGGATGCACAGTAAAGTCGTCAGGTTGCTGATCTTGAGCGGGCAAGGACTCTGTGTCATCCAGGGCCGATCCCGAAGGGACCAACACAGCAGCAGCAGAAGCCATTGTCTGCTTCCTATGATTCCACTGTTTCTCTCGATGTGCCGCTAACAATCATGCGATAAGGTATCAATATTATTAATGAGTACTTAAACTGATCGATGACCACTGTAACGTACCTTTCCTTTGAAGTTCCTTCTCTACTGCATGCACTGCAAGTGCTGCAAAATTTTTATTGGCATTCTTCTTATCCCATCGTCTCAAACAACTCTGTTCATGAGATTTGATCCCATGTGCTAAGAATGACCTGTTACAGTATTGACAATCAACTTGGTTATTGGTTGATGTTGAAGTAAGATATTTACGCCCCAGGTCTGCATTTCTGTTTGGGGCCATCTAGCAGTACACAGATATACAGAAAGGCAGCTGAAGACACAATGATGGGAGGAGGTGAAGGCGAAGATTGATTAATTATTAATACCAAATTATTATTATTATTACTCGACGTCGAATCACAGCACTGCTTGCAATCCAAAATTAGTGTGTGCCTTGCTTACAAGTGCCTCAAATTAAGTCACGCCCCCTGGGAATTCGGTCGCAATGCAGTTGGCAGGCACACCAATAGTGTCCCAATATAGAATGCTTGCAAGGCACCCCTGGGGATTTCCGACAGAGGGTGTGTGATCTCAATTGACTCCCTTTTCGAAAAAATCTCCACAGGATATGGCTCGATTTGACAACCACTTGGGACATTCTGGAGGGTCAGACTAGCTGGGTTGACACCATCACCTTGTTCCAGAATGACCGCCTCCTTAAGGTGAGTGCATCATGGAATAAAACAGTACTTGTGTCTATGGAATCTCAACACAAACCTCCCAGTCGGTCCACCCCTCCAGCATGAACATTGTTTAAGCTGCGCAGCCCTTTCTGCTGACAGAAAAGTGCTGGTCACTGGTAGCAATGACAAAAATGCATACATATGGGACACTTACACCATCCTCAAAGAAGCTTGCCTTGAGGACTGACTATCCATTCCTCATGCGAGTCCAGATACATCATGCTTTTCAAACCACACTAATACCTCACTTGCAGGTCCAAATTCAAAAGTCGTCAAAGGACGTACGTGACATATATCTTTACCCTGTCCAATCATCTTAAGATTGAATTCTAGACTGATGCTACCAGACGTCTACCTATCCGGGCCCGTCGAATACCACCAGGATTTTTCGACGACACCCAAGTGAGCCCTCTACCATTTCGGACAAGCTCTTTTCTGACCTTTCTCAGTTCTCTACAGCACGTGGTACCCATACTCTCTCCCTTGCCCACAAACCTAGCAGTCCTGATCCATCCTTATCTGCCATTCCACATGCTCTTTTCGAATGACTTTCGTCATCCTTCCACCCTTCTCACTCCAATGCTGACGAAGAAACCAAATTCCAGCAATACCCAAAGCACTCCATCTTCTCTTGTGGTCCTCGTATCATCGAAGTTGCTACAGTACCAGACAGAAAGGTATCTCTTCCTTCTTGTCTATTTGTTATTGCCGTGGTTCAGCAATTTCTGTGCAGGCATTATGTGTTGCTCTGTGCTCACGGCCGCAGCAGCAAAGGCAGGCGCATGCCCAGGCCTCGTCATCTCAATCCCAGCCTGCCGCGACCTCTACCTCCGACACACCCACTCAAGGTTCTAGCACTGCTGCGCATCTCCACCGCACGCCAATGGTCATTAATACAGGAGAAGCATATCATGTACAATCGTTTCATTCTTCACGTCTTCTGCTATTCCATCAATCTTTTTTCTTCTTTGTGAGACTTGTGCAATGCATCGAAGTTGATCATGCTAATTGTTGCGAGAGCACCATTGTACTCGGAGGAAAAAAGTCTAGGATCAGCCCAGGTTCCTCCCATCTGTAGACTTTTGCAATACTATTGGCAACTCATCAGCTACTATGTATTCTTTCAGGTAATGTCTGCATATTTCAACTTCAGACGACGAAGACACATTGTCTAATATCTATGCACCAAGTTCTGCATTTATATACCAGTATTTCGAGAAGGCAGCTCAGAGCAAGCCTCGATCTCAACAATATTATACAAGCAATCTTCTTCGGGGGGATGCTCATAGTGGACCATACACAATAATCAACTTGTTGAGAGAGGCAGTGTAACTATTATCGATGTTTGCGCACTCTTTTCCTCTGTCAGAGCCTTGACGCATCAGTTTCGTACAGGGGCGCATAATTATCCATGTGCGACTGCAGTAACCAGCCTGCATTTATATACTAGCATTTCGCAAAAGGCCACTCAGAGCAACCCTTGATCTTGACAATATCATCCAAGCAATCTTCTTTTTGAGGAGTGGACCACACACGACAGTACTTCAACTTACACATCGTCACTAATTCGAACGACAAGACTGTTTGGCTGTGGGATGTTCTGATGAAACAGTTATCATAACCATAACAATGCACCATGTCAAATCCTCCAGCATTCTGAGATGAAGATTGCATGATCGAGGCCACCATTACAATGAAACCAAACACTAGGAACAATTACTTTGTTCGGTTCTCATCCAACTCTATCCGACACATATATATGAGATATCCTATGACGACCACAGTTCGACCCCCTTTTCCATGATGAGTGACAGTGGTAGGGCCCAAGCATCAGCTCTTATTCTGGATACCACCCGCTTCTCAACATACAACAGCTAGTTCAGGTTCTGCGTCCATGGTAGATATCTCCTGCATTGTCATCAAGATGAGGGAGAAACATCGCTTTAAAAGCACCACAACTTACTGTAAGCTGGGCTTACGCATCAGACATACTGCTTAGGCATCGGACATTGATTGGACACCCCGCATTGTTTGCTGCTATTTTGACTGACTCCTATTTATATCAAGCTTGTACCGCATGTATTGACCATCGTCTCTTATCCTCATTCAATCCCATACACTTCTACTCGTTTACTCTTGTCTGAACTCCGAACTGAGTGTTTCTACCCTTGGGTAGTTTCCACTTTTTTTAAACGACCTAAAAAGGTGTATCTACCATATAACTGTATTCCCCGAACAAGGGAAAACAACTGAACCGAACCAACTGTCCCGTTATTCCCACTGTAATTCAAACTGTCGTACCACCATTCACAGCCATCTGTCATTCAACCGTTGGTTACGTGTAGCCGCCGTCGACAATTCGTTAACCCTATAGAATCAATTGTATCTACGCTACCCGCTGTACCAGAAATGGACGAACATCTTCAGTCATCTACATCAACGACTCAGGAATCCTCTAGTACTCGCAAATGCAGATACATATCAGACTCAGACTCAAATTCAGATTGTTATTGTGCATATAACCAGTACAACATGTCCACAACCAAAACCGCCCGTGTAGACCAACCTGCGCCTACCAAACCACCATTCTTGACGCCGGGAGACATCACTCCCGAGGTACTCCACACCTGGGAGATGGGTTGTTGCCAATACTTCAGACACAAGGACATCGCCGTTGAGGAACAGGTCGGTAAGGTAGCGTGGGGTATGCAAGAACCTTCTATACAAGAGTGGTACCTCAACGACCAAGAACGGATGGACGAACTAACATTTGAAGAGTACATGATGGAGGTCCGGGCATATTGGCTACCATCAGACTGGGCGGACGTCACGAGGCGAAAGTTGTTGTCATCAAACCAAGGAAATAAGCCGTTCAACGAATGGGCAATTGAAGTACAGAGCCAGAACACTCTTCTCTGTGGTACTCCCTCACACCTAACTGAGTTGAACTTATGCTACCATTTAGAGGCGCACATGCACCCCGATCTCAGAACAGAGTACCACTCAGAGGAGATCTCGACCATCGCTGACTTCCGACCTTGGGTTGAAAAGACCCGACTCTTGGATGAGAAGCGCCTGCGGATCATCGCCAAACAAAAGGAAGCAGTCGAGGCTGCCCTTCGTGCAGAACACTTGCATAACGGCGGCAAGAAAAGACTTAATTCCTCCTCACAATACAACTCTAAAGCTGGGCGTACCGTAACCGGGAAAACGGGCGCGTTCGTGCGCATACCACCCCTCACAGATGAAGAATGCACACTCCTGCATGAACACGACGAATGTTTCAAGTGTTGAGAGCCCTTTGCAGGTCACACGACAAGCACGTGCAACAAAGGATTCCCTGATGGCGTGACATACAAACCTGTCACTGCAGCTTCAATTGCATCAAAAAAGGGTAGGAAGACTGGAAACACGGTTGCTTCTGTAGAGGTCGAAAACATGGTGGCAGTGGTAATGCCCTCCGCGGCTCTGGGAAACGGTACAGACTCAGATGAGTGCATGGCCCCACTAACCACTCCTCTTCTCCTTTGGGACTGTTATGTTGACGGTCCTGCTGTCTCATCTCCTGTCCGTGTGTCCGCACTAATTGATGATGGTTCCGCTGCAGTTCTGATTGACGAACAACTTGTACTCAAACTCGGCTTGCGCTGAAGAAAACTGCCAACGCCTGTACCCTTCAACGTCGCTCTCTCTGGAGACAAGAAGGAAGCATTTCTTTTATCGGATTATGTGAAACTCGCCTGTACTTCTATTGATTCCCGTTATACTTCTCGCAGTGTACGCGCCGTTGTCGCTCCAAACCTTTGTACCACCCTCCTACTTGGTGGTCCCTTCCTGCACCACAACAAGATTGTTATAGATCACGAACTCCGGACGTGCACGGTAAAAGATCACGACTACGACCTTCTGAACCTGCAAGCACATGCTACGTCAAGCAAGAAATCCTTGGTACCGTCACCACCCAGAATGCGTGAACTTCACTTGGAGGTGGTGCGCGAACTTAAGCATATCTTGCTGGAGTACAAAACACTTGTGGACAACTCCTGCGAGCCCTTGAAGGGAATCAACGTCGTTGCAGCAGTATGGGAACGAATTGTGTGCCTCACATCAGAAGAACAACTGAGACAACGTGACGCTGTGCTGAAACTTGAGTTCGTGGACCATTTCCTGGCGGACATCCCACACAACGACTCCTTACCATCAGACGTACTGTTCCGCGTACACTTGAAGGACGCAGATAAGTTGATACAGAAACGTGGTTAAGACTGCCCGAGAAAATATAGGGAGGCATGGAAAGTCTTACTAGATCAACATGTGGAGGCTGGGCGCCTGCGCCCATCAGATAGCCCACATTCCTCACCTGTGTTCATCATACCGAAGGTGGATCCAACTGCTCTTCCACGGTGGGTGAACAATTTTTGCCAACTGAATCTAAACACCATTCCAGATAATCATCCGCTTCCAAGGATCGATGAGATCCTACGCGACTGCGCGAAAGGTCAAGTCTTTGGTAAAATTGACATGACGAATTCCTTCTTTCAGACTAAGGTACACCCTGATGATATGAAACTTCTCGCAGTGCATACTCCCTGGGGATTATACGAATGGACCGTGATGCCAATGGGCATACGTAACGCACCCGCGGCTCACCAACGGCACATGTCCTCAGCACTACGGCATTTGATAGGCAAAATTTGCCACATATATCTTGACAACATCATCATCTGGTCTCAATCCCTCGAGGAACACGAGCAGAACGTGCACGAAGTACTGTTGGCCCTATGGGCCGCCCACCTGTTTTGCTCACAGAAAAAGAGTTCCTTGTTCAACCTTGAAATCGACTTCCTCAGACATCACATTTCCGCGCGTGGTATAGAACCCGACAAGTCCAAAGTCGCGCGCATTCTAGACTGGCCCACACCGCGGAAGTCGAACGACGTTCGTGCATTCCTGGGACTCGTCTGTTACCTCGCCAACCACCTACCCGCGCTCGCGGATCACGCGCGCATTCTGACTCCACTGACAATGAAAGCCGCAGATCTCGTGTTCCCACTGTGGACGGAGAAACACACAACTGCCTTCCAGGCAATCAAGGACCTGGTAACGAGCGCTAAGTGTCTAACGACGATAGACCATGACAATCCTGGCAATAACAAGATCTTCTTGACCTGTGATGCTTCAGATTATCGAACGGGTGCAGTACTGTCGTGGGGAGAAACATGGGAGACTGCTAGATTGGTGGCATTCGATTCCACCCAACTGCGTGATGCTGAATTGAATTATCCAGTGCACAAAAAAGAACTACTCGCAATCATTCGTGGGTTAAAGAAGTGGCGCGTCGAGCTACTGGGAGGTCCAGTACAGGTATACACTGACCACAGGACGCTCGAAAACTTCATAACGCAAAAAGGACTCTCACGATGACAGGCCCATTGGGCCGAGTACCTTGCGCACTTCGACCTCACCATCTCATACCTCAAAGGAGAGGAAAACACAGGCGCAGACGCCTTGTCCCATCTCCACGTAGAAGACACTCCGTTAACCGCAGCCGCTGTGAAGACAGCCCTGAGGATTGAGATGGACAAGTCGTTCCTGAAAAGCATTGTCGACAGTTATGTAGACGACCCCTTTTGCAAGAAACTGACTGCTCTGGTAGGATCCTTACCCGGCCTGATGCAGAAGGATGGACTACTTTACGTCGTGGACCATCTAGTGGTCCCGCACGTGAATCCTCTGTGGGAACAATTATGTCATCTGGCGCACGACGCATCGGGTCACTTCGGCAGTGACAAGACTTATGCAGCTCTCCGTTCCTCGTATTACTGGCCCAACATGCGTAGGGACCTGGTTGACTCGTATATACCAAGCTGCATGGAGTGCATGCGGAACAAATCTCCAACAACCTTGGTTACAGGCTCACTGCACCCCTTGCCAATCCCCGACACTCGTGGGGATTTGGTCGCGATCGACTTCATCGGTCCTCTGCCGGAAGATCAAGGCTACAACATGATCATGACAATGACCGACCGCCTCAACGCAGACTTGCGGATCGTACCTTGTCATGATAGCATCTCCGCTGAACAGTTCGCAGTGGTGTTCTTTGACCACTGGTACTGCGAGAACGGACTTCCGTTGGATGTCATATCAGACCGTGATAAGCTCTTTCTCTCTCGTTTTTGGAAGTCCCTGCATAAACTGACCAGCATTAAACTAAAGATGTCATCCTCGTATCATCCTCAGACGGATGGTGCGAGTGAACGTATGAACAAAACAATTAACCAATGTATTAGATTTCACGTGGAAAGGAACCAGAAGGGGTGGGCCCGTGCGCTACCACGCGTACGTTTTCACATCATGAACTCCATCAACGCTAGCACCGGGACATCACCCTTCCAACTGCACTTGGGCCGCTCTCCTCATCACATATTGCAGTAACTTATACCCGTACCTTACGGTCAGCCCAGTGGGACAATAGCCCATACTATACGGGCCATCCCATGTGGGCCCATGGGCATATTGTACAGGTAATACACGGATGGGCCAGTAGTTAGTAAAGTACCCGATCTTGACGGATGGGCCCATAGTACTAGTATAGCCTATAGCCAATGGGTGTATATAGTTGAAAGTGACAGGCCAGCCCAGTAATGCTACTATTGCTCCATTATTGGGTGGGCCCATGGGTGTAAGTAGTTGAAAATGATGGGTCGGCCCATGATAGTATTTTGACACTTCGGTTGGTAATGACGTTGTGACTCCTTGGTTGGTAATGACATTGTGACTCCTCGGTTGGTAATGACATTGTGACTCCTTGGTTGGTAATGACATTGTGACCCCTTGGTCGATCATGACGTTGCGACCTCTCGGTTGATCATGACGTTGCGACCTCTCGGTTGATCATGACGTTGTGACCCCTCGGTCAGTCATGACCATGTGGCCCCTCGGTCTGTAATGACGTTGTGACCCCCAGGTCGGTCATGCCCCTGTGATCCCTCAGTCATGACCTTGTGATCCCTCGGTCTGTGATGACGTTGTGACCCCTAGGTCGGTCATGACCCTGTGATCCCTTCGGTCGGTCATGACCATGTCACCTCTGGTGGTCATGAAATCGACTGAGATCAGTAACTCGACTTTATCGGCCGTTGCACTGACCCCTCGGTGAGCTATGGTAACAGATCAGTATCGGTCCAGTAGCTCTCGGTCAAAGGAACTATTTGAGCCAACAATTATTATCACCATTAATGTGGGAGAACAGAATATATTATTTCATGTGATACATTTGCCGACCCGACCGAACACTGATATGGCTGGCCGGAAATTTAGCCGGGTATATGTGGATAATTGAAACAGAACATTGAGAAAGTGTATTGAAAATTATGTGTTTTTGTAGCAGGCATATGGAATAAATGAATATTGTGTCCTTCGTGTTCTTTGGAAGTGACATGACACAATAGGTTTTTATTTTGTTTGTCTGGTGTTTTGTGATCCATGGCCTGATATCCTCTGAAACTGTACAATGTTAATGTTTCCGTTGTTAGGGGAACAATGTAGAAATATATCAAGAACATGAATATTTAAGTAACGTGTATTAAAAACGGCATTCTATTTATAATGTATTAAGGTATTAATTAGTCACAGCATAAATAGGCACCATTTATTTCGTGTTCCTTGCAAATAACATGGTAGAGATATAGATATAATGTCTGCGTATTCAATGTTGCCATGGAAAACGTAAATGTCTATCTATTTTCCTCATATTCTTTGAGTATTTGGTCAGAAAACATTGCTAAATATGCGTAAGGGAGCAATGCAGCTGTCAGACTTAGGTAATTCCACCACCCAGGCTGTTTACATATTCTTCAATGGGCTGATGAGTTATGGACATTGATACACTTTCCTTAAGATGATCAAACACTAACTAGATGGGTGAGTTATCCCTGACTTCGAATTGGAAAACATTGCGATAGTAAAGGAGGCACATCTAACATTTTAAGAGAATGAGTTGGGTGATGATGCAATGGATTGAAGAGGGTGAGCGGGACAGATGGATATGTTACAATTCATTGTGTTAAGCGGATAGAAGATATCACGGAGCATGTTCAATCATTTCAGGTTGACCTGAGACAAGTAAAACATCTTCTAAATGCTCTCCAGCACTCAGTAGCAATTGACGTTAATCTCACACATTTTATTCCCTTGGTAAATGACATGTGGTAGACAGTCGATGTGTATGATATATATGTGGCCGAGTGCCAATCCCGCTGCACAGAAAACTGACAATTAGTGGGAACGTTCGGCCATGTGGAGATATTATCCCCTACACTGCAGTCTTGGTGAAAAGTTAAAATTCTTCACTATGGCTGTGACTAGTTAATTCACTCGGCCAATTTTGATTGCAACGAATTGTATTACTGCAAATGCCACAAGTAAAGCTGATTGTATGTCAGTCCGAAACACATAAGATTTGTTCGGCCGGCTGTGGCCGGTACGTTGGATAATACATGGGTCCATTGTTGCGGCCTTTAGGGCTTTCACCATCTCTCTCACACAAAACCTCTGGCTAACCTCATCTGATCACCAAACGATGCATCCATTTCCTCTGTTGAAGTTCAGGGACCCTGGATGTGATTGCTGTGTGGCCGACAACATACCATGCATTGGATATTGGGCTGGAGATTCATGCTGTGGATGTAGGCAGCGCTGTTCCATTGTGCAGGGTATGTAGCATATAATATCCATGTCACACATTTACCAATAGATAGTTTCAGAGCATCGGCCAAACCGCCATACGGCTCAGAGTGCTGTAGGACGCATGGACCCAAGCTGTGATTACTGTACAAGTACAGATCAGCAGTGTATGGCTCGGCCGGGTTCAGCCTGTCTCGCCTGCATGCAGCAATGCAGCCACAGTAAGCTGGCCTTACATCCAACGGAATACTCACTCATGGATGTCTCCTCAAGTAAAAATTGATACTGTTACATTGGAATCAGCATCCGATCAATCTGATTGCTCGGCAGACATTGTGATGTTGGACAGTCGGCCGGATGACTGGAGGGAACGGCCAATAAAGCAAGAGACATATGAGGTAGAGCACGATAGGACACTGACTGATGAAATGACGGATCTTGAGCAGTGTCTGTGTCATGTCATGCAATTGCACCACAGTATGGAGGAAGCGTGCAAGGAGTTTAGGCAGAGGTTTCAGTATCTGAAGCAGCGACTCGGCCAGGAGTAGATAGACATTCCATGTATATAGTACAGACATATGCAATTTACATAGCTTTTTTATACATATGGTGGGTACCCACACCAAACGGCCATGCATTTGATCGGACATCTACAGCTAGCCGAATATACAGGCTTTTAGCTTGTCTTTAGTTTACCTGTCTTGAATATAATCGCTCGATTGCTGTCTAACACACTCATTAAATTACTTGATATGAAAGGAATCACATGTAATGAGGCCTCGGTTGGGACTTTACAATTGCCTGCTCCATCAACATCCTCATGAGCGTCGATCAGCATGTCACTATGGTGCTTGACCGAGATCCACGAATTTATTGGTTGTTGTATTGCCTAATACACTTATCTTTAATGGACGCCTGTGTCACTATAGTACAAATATAATACATATGGATTACAGATATATTGAGACATGCACCGTCAACACAGCCATGACTTCGGAACATTTGACCGATGGCCACTGTTAGACATGACTGGCTTCCTGGAATATCGGACAATGACCTGAATCTTAGCATGTATTAGCCAAATTACTCGAAGTTCACAAAAACACACGGCATTGATTGTCTCTGGACACCAGAGTGCAAATACATTATATTGTGAAATGTGTATACATTAGCGGCCGAGCTCACAAGTACAATAATCAACACGAATATATTACATAATGTACAGAATGGTGACCCATAATGCAACCGATGGATCCGGGAACGGCCGCTGTGGACATTTATTAGTCTCGGACTATTACAGGGCTCATGGCCGATTCTGCAACATTCTATTCAAACACAACTATCTGATTACCCATCTATGTTTCCTGCCCAAAAATTGATGCTGAGAGAGCCGGGTTGCCAATCCTGCGTAGATGACAATGAACCATGCTATGCGTATTTGTCTGCATCGGCATGCAGCAGATGCTCTAACCGTTGTTCTCTGTTGCCAGGTAAGCCATGGCCGTACATCTACACTCTTGACTGACTTTCACAATATTAGCACCTCCCCCAAGGCGTACCAGCATCATGAGTGTGATGCACAGGATGCGTCCAGGCTGCGATTCCTGCAAGGGTACACGAAAGGTTTGCCAAGGATGGACGGGCGACGCATGCATCCTGTGTCAACAGCTTTGTAGCAATGGTAAGTGTTAATTTACTTGTGTTTTTTACCATGCTCAATTGTTTATGCCTTAGTTGTGAAGGATACTGAAGAAGAAGTCGTTGATGCCTCGGTTGTCACAGATGCCAAAGAACACGCCATTGATGACCCATCTGACACAGAATCTGAACGTTCTGACTCCTCCAACAAAGTGATCATCTTAGATCACAAGCCATCTAACCGGGTCGATAGGCCACTGGATGAGACAACACAGGCGAGACTTGAGGCAGAGATGAAGGACCTCGAGCAGCATCTGGCCGAAACACGGAAGATGCACCGTAGGGCTGAGGAAGCTTGTAGAGAATTGGAGCATGAGTTGGCGCATCTCAATGGATGTCTCACGGAAAGATAAATTAATTAATCAACGTACATTAGTATAGATATTCTGTAGTGTATTGTGCTGCATCGCATCCTGAGCTTTGAATGTATATGTCACATCGGCCATATATAGATGGCTACACTTAGATGCTCTTACGGAATGCAGGACCATTACTGAATGGTCATAGATGTTCTATTAACATCTTGAGAAGAGGAGACATTAACTCGGCAAGCACCTTGAATTAATGCCTGGTATAAGTGATGGCTGGATGTCTCATGGCCGAATATCAGGCACTTCATGTCGTCTGTAAGTATACTCAAGTTCACATCCAGTGTTTCCTTGTAAGTCCTGGTGTGATTCATATTTGATTGTCTTTCCCGAACGCCAGGCAGTTCACTTCTTCGGCAATTTCCATGAAGTCCACAACTACATTTTCCGTAAGCACACATAGGTTCCCAATACTCACACTTCAAAACATTCATTCATTTGACTCTGACTACAACAATCCTTCCCACATACAGCTACACACAACTATGGCACTATCCTCAGCGTTTACGGCTAGAAACCTTGGGTGTGACTCATGTGTGGCCGAAGGAACACCATGCAAGCAATATTCGGCTGGACGTGCATGTGAGTGATGTGAGTGACTTTGTTCTCTCACCGAGGGTAAGTAATAAATTTGAATATCTTGTTGATTTACTAATCTTATGAAACACTTCAGGGCATCAAGAAATGCACAATACGCAGCTGACGGCCATGGTTCTGCAGGGCCCAGGGTGTGGTCATTGCATGATCATGAAGCAAGACTGCATCGGTCGTCTGAATGAAGCTTGTGTTGCGTGCAAGCAGCAGTGCAGCCATGGTGCGCTGTTTTGTTACATATTCATCTCTCTACTCAACAAGATCTTTTAGTTACTGAACACACAAATACTACAGATGAACATGGAGCATCACACAATTCTTCAAGTGACTTGGTCACGTTGGGAAAACAGCTGAACAATTGCGATTCCGGCAGGAGAAAGAAGAGAAAGCTCCATGCCGAAAAAAGGCAGTGGTTGGAAGTAGAGGTCAGGAGGGTGGAGAAGGATCTGGCAGACATGAAGGAGATTCGCAGGAGCACCCTGAGACGGTGCGAAGAATTAGAGGAATGGCTGTGCTACATCAAGAAGTCTTTGATGAAGAAGTAGTTCCAGCATGTATCATAGATCGTACAATTAGCTATCATTAACGGTGTCATAAATTTCATCCGTATTGCGTATTGCTAGATATTGACACATTGCACACTTCAGCCAGCAGCTTTATTATTGTCGGCCAGTCGGCCAACTGCTTCAGTAAAAACTTTCTTACTATGTTGAAAACGGTCGGTCATTTGAATAAGAATTGCAGTGCCACTTTAGAGTCGCAGACAGGGATAAACTGATTCTGCAACCACATTATTAGACCACCAACATTGTAATGCACCGCAACGATATATTTCAACTACATAATAAGGGCATTCCATATAAAGATTCAACCGACTAACATGTAAGCTTTGTGATCCATCGACAAAATTGTGTTGAGGCTCAAAAATGTGAAACTTTTGCCAGTGGCCGAATACTATGCGCCTGCTCGGCCGACAGTCAACCATTAACTTCCTTGGCCGAGTGATTAAAATTATAGTGGTTCAATTAATATTGTCAAGGGGCAATGCATAATTACAACTTGCCCGAATCGTATTACAGCCGACTCTGAACTGAAAGTTGCAGCTGATATGTACGTAATATTTTTGCGGAATAATAGATGATTCTGCTTTGATATACTTATTATACTCACGCCCTGTTCGACTTTTACTCTATCAGCGTCCCAAATAATTTTCAACCAGTCATGGTTCGTAAAAGTAGCGATAGCCACATAGGTTTGGAACACACCGGTACGTGCATTATTGTACACAATGCAAGCTGTAATTACATGATATTCCACATCATCTAGAATGTATGACACAGTCTGCTACATCAAATCAGAATTCGCAAGTCATTGTCACTCAACATCAGTCGCATGGTTCCAGAGATATACAGATTCGTGTAGAAGTGGACACGACATCCTCGGAGTCTGAGACCCAATGACCTCATATAATCGGCCGCACATTTGGGGCTAAGGTGTGTTTCATGACAATATTTCAGTTCAATTTGGACATTGATAACCAACACCACCAGCTCCACAATCCATCACAAAGTCCCTGCAATGCATGTGCAGCTAAAGACATGCAGGCTGCTTCCAGGGAACAGGCAAACAGGCATTCTCATGCTGCTTGCAAGGCACAGCAGCAGGCTTTTGCAGATAGTCAATCAGCTACTGCTGATCAGATCCAGGAAGGCACTTGGCAGTCGGCCAGATGGACAGCTTCAATCACCAGCACGGAATCTGATGGTGCTGAGAAGTTCTACTTCGTTCGTTGTGGTTGGCGCACTGGGGTGTTTACATCAAGGTATGATGTAACTCTTATGTACAGGAATCATTCTGATCCATGACATCCTCGAAATTGTGTTAGGCTTGCCGCATTTCTGCTCGCATCAGGCACGAAAGGAGGGAACTGGAAGTCTTTCCGAAGTAAGCGAGAGGCAGTAAGTGACTACACTCGTTCCAAGACAGCACAGCACTAGTCTTTTCAATTCAACCTCGCTATGTGATGTTTTGTTTCATGTTGTGAATTGATTTGTATCTGACTCATTAAAGACATGTGTTGCAATGTTCTACATTTATATTTGTCCGATAAGACATCATGAATGTGAACTCGCCGTAATATTTGAATAGAGTCTGCTATCTTGCATATCACAACATCAAGCTCGTTCCAATCTCGCACTCATGTACCTGCCTCGGCCGCCAATACTTGTGTCTTCTTAAATGTTGATTCAGCATGTTGATATAGTCGTTGGAACATGCTTGCCTACCGGCCGGCATAGCAGACGTGTCCCTCTTGCTTTTTTTCTTGGGCATTTTGACCACGACCTAACCAAGTCGCTCATTTGTAATTGAAGAAACCCAGAGTCCATGTCATTTCATGCTCTACAAGGGTGAACTCTTCCTGCCAGCGGTCTCATAGGGCTTTCGCTCGAAGCCAGTGAACCCTGTAAACTGGATAACATGGTTATTGGTTTGACAGTTATGCAAATAGGTAAGCAATGGCTTACATTCATTCATCCAATCGCTGCTGGTAGAATCCCCTTGAACATCAAGTGACCAAAACCAAGCCAGAGTGTCGTTCCTTTGCCCTCTGGCATTTGGGTCTGCAATGGCCGTGGTTACTTTCAAATGTTCCTTGAGCAGCGGCCGATATTTCAGAAGCAATTCATCTGCACCAAGTTCCTGGAGCTGTGTCCTACATTTTGAGTAGATGCTCGCATTAAGTCTGACTGCCCCGTCGACCGACCAAACCTGGGCCCATGCTCGAGTGGATCACGCTTGTGACTTGGCAGGTCATACAGTTGTTTGTAGTAAGGAGCCCCTTCAGTGACAAATTCCATATTATACGGGCCACCTGACCTACATAATATCCCGTATGAGACGGGCCAGCGGATTATGGGCCCATGTTGTGTATATTCTTGATGATGACGGATGGGCCGGGACACATATTATTTCCAATGGAGACGGGTGGGCCCATGTATGCCAATGATATATATATCCTTGATGTTGACAGATGGGCCGGGGGAATATGATCATTCATGGAGATGGGTGGGCCCATCTGGGTAATATGTAGAGTAGGATATTATAGACAGCTGGGCTGAAGAGAGATGTAAGGTAAATATTGTTATATAGACGGGCGGGCCGACGGGGGTGTATTATATATATGGGTGGGCCGAGGTAGGGGAATATTACATAGATGGGTGGGCTGACGTGGGGTGTATTACATATACAGGTGGGCCAACGTGGAAAGTATTACATATAGGGGTGGGCCGACGAAAGGGATATCAAATAGACCAGTGGGCTGAGGGTGCGATAAAATATTTATTACACAGACAGGTGGGCCAAGGTGGGGTATAATTATATAGATGGGTGGGCCAACATAGGATGTATTACATAGACGGGTGGGCCGATATGGGGGATAATACATAGATGGGTGGGCTGACGTGGGGGAATTGTACATAGATGGGTACATATATGGGTGAGCCTAGATACATTTCATCAAGACATACAGCTGATGTAGCCACCAGTGAATCAAACACGTAGGATACATGTACACTATGAGTGCATATACCTACCATCGACCACCAAATCTAAACCCCTAAGCACGAAAACATGAATTGACCATGTGTGGCATTGACCAATAATCGAGGACTGAAGTGGAAAAACCCCACACCTGAACCCTGGTGTGCAACATATCCTATTTCTAAGCACGGACACCAGAAGCACAACACTCACAAAAATATAAATGTCAAATTTTCAGTGCCAAACCCCAAACCAAGATTTACCAACCCCCGAACTTCAAAATTGTGGACTGCCGGGTCTCGGGTTTTGGGGTTCGGGGGTCCCGGAACTCGGAAGTTGGGAAATTTGGGGAGATCAATAAAATTTGATTTACAATCGAGTTGATTGACAAACACATTGACTTACCCATGTTTGAAATATATTTTTGTTCTCACATACCGAGTTCCGAGTTCCAGGACCCCTGAACCCCAAAACCCGGCAGTCCACAATTTTGGGGTTCGGGGGTTGGTAAAATGTGTATGGATATATAAAAGGTTGATTTAAACATTTTTGAAAGATGTCTCATATCAAATGTTAAGTCCTGAGTTTTGAATTTCGGGTTTTGGGACTCCGTGTTTTGGGACTCCAGGCTTCAGGACTCGGCACTCCCGAAACCCGGAAATCGAAACTCGGGACTTGACATTTGATATGAGACATCTTTCAAAAATGTTTAAATCAACCTTTCATATATTCATACACATTTTACCAACCCCCGAACACCGAAACTGTGGACTGCCGGGTTTCGGGGTTCGGGGGTCCCAGAACTCGGAACTCGGTATGTAAGACAACAAAAATATCTTTCGGGGTTCGGGGGTTAGTGAAATGTTTATAGATATACATAGGTTAATTCAAACATGTCTGAAAAATTTCATTCATCTCAAATGTCAAATCCTGAGTTCCGGGCTTTGGGACTCGGCACCCGGCACCGGCACTCAGGGTTCGGGGTTCAGCACTGAAAATTTGACATTCAGGTGTTCGGGTTTCGGGTGATATCTAAATCAACAGCTTCGAGTTCTGCCAAAGCGTGAAACTTAAAACCCAGTGTGCAACATGTTGATTTTTCATTTATATCACACAAATCATCGAGTTCCGAGTGCCGAGGGCTGAGACCCGAAGCCCGAGACCCGAAAATATGTACACAACATGTCCATTTTTTACTCACTGCACAAATCACCGAGTTTCGAGTGCCAAAGCGTGAAACTTGAAACCCAGTGTGCAACATGTCCATTTTTCATGTACATTACACAAATTAGTGCTGCCAAAGTCCGGTTCGGTCCAGTTCATGGCCCTATATTTGCGAACCCCGAACCTGACCATTGGTCAGGTTCGAGCAAGGAGGCTGAACCATGGACCGGACCCCTGTGAACGCGTTCGGAAGGGTTCGGTTCAAGTTCAGAACGTGTTCGAACCCTCGAACCCTTTATTTCAATTTGCAAAAAAATCAAAATTTTACAAGACAACAACGACAAATTTGTACGCTACGTACAGCTACTCCTCGTTCACAATGACCGTGAGGCTTTTCGATCGGGGAGTCTATGTAATGCGCTGTAATGGATAGGAAAGGGTGACCAGGAAAAGATGTCCACGAGTCGAACGTCATGGAAATTTTGCTGTCGACATGCTTGAGCTTCTCTTTCACGCGCTCGACTGCCAGCTTCGCACGTTCGAGGATCTCATCATGCGTTTTTGTACGGTGGGGAATATCTGTTTCTGAAAGCGAGGGTCGGAGATATTGAAGAAGTCGACGGAAGGGACCTTTATCTACGAGTTGAAATGCCTAGTACAAATGTAGTGTAAGTATCTTTAAAAAATCTCAGAAATGAAAGCTACTTACCTCGTCCTCAGCGACAATGAGTTCGACGATGTAATCCATGAGTCCGGACTTCGTGAACGTGGGAATCTTTGGAGTCAGAGAGCCGTCCAAGGTTGCCTGACTGTCGGTTGCCTTGCAATCACGAGGTATGGCACGATTGTGCATCTTGATACCCTGTTCTTTGCAGCGGTCGTGATAGACTGGGTAGTGGCACTTGGGATGGCGAGCAATGTGAGTGCGTCTAGTCGAGATACCACCTTTAAAAAAGCACTGGTGTAGTGGGACATTATTGGCCTTGCATACCTCACACCACCACCCATTTTCACGCTCCTGGGTGTGGGGGTTGATGTGACCTTTCTCAAAGGTAAAGACTGTAGTCAAGTCAGCGCTGCGTTCATCTTTCTTGAGGGATTTGCGGTCTTCGTGATCCTGGTCGCCGAGCTTCTTCGTCCGTTGATAAGCTTCTTCATTCTCGGCATTCTCGGCATCCTCTTCCTCATCATCTGTAACGTCTTCAAGTGCGGGTGCATCTTCGTCGTCATCCTCGTCATCCTCTCTGCTACTGGTACCAACGAACACTCGTTTGGGTGCAGGGACACCCTGAGGAGGTTCTACAGCTGACCGTTTGGCTGAGGTACTGCTGGCAGTCAGAGTCTCGCGGATCTTCTCTGTGGGTTTGACCGCTCGACCAGAACGACGTACAAACGAATTGAGAGTGCCGTTGTGTGCAGGAGCAGGGGGAGGAACCATTGGAGAGTCGTCTTCAGCATCATTGTACCACGCTATCTCACTGGCGTCTTTCAACGAACCGTCAGCGCGACGTGCAGAGGACATAGCAGCAGGGGGCATAAATTTCAAACCTAGGTACCAAGTGAATTTATTTAAAACTAGATTTAAAACTGTTGCGCACCATGAAACACCAAAATGAGAACCCATGGCAGATAATCAGTATGGTGAATCACAACTGTAGGTATGTTCTGAAATAAATCACATCATAAGTTAATTGTGACAGACAGTAGACTTGTTGCGAACTCACTGGCGCATGAATGAGTTGCATTACTGAAGTAGCCGAGAGATTGCCTTGCAGGAGAAGTAGGAGAAGACGGTGAACAGAAGGGCAAGGATGATACTTAAATAGAAAGCCTCACCAAAAACATGAGGCTTCGACTTCGAAAATCGTAAGTCAAAGCCAGCGACATGATAGGTTCGAACCGGTCCGGATGCGTCCAGAACCGGTCCGGATTTATCGACAACACACCGAACCTCGAACCTACCAAGGGGTTCGGTCCAAGAGAAATTCTGGACCTGTGACCGAACCATGGGTCCGGTCCACAAAGGTTCGGGTTCGAACCTAGGTCCTGGACCGGACTGCGGCAGCACTAACACAAATCATCGAGTTCCGAGTGCTGAGGGCCAAGACCCGAAGCCCGAGACCCGAAAATATGTATATAACATTTCCATTTTTCACTTGTTGCACAAATCACCGAGTTTCAAGTGCCAAAACCCAAAACTCAAAACCCGGTGTGCAACATGTTCATTGTTCATTTACATTACACAGATCATTGAGTGCCAAGGGCTGAATCCTAAAACCCAAAGCCTGAAAACATGTATGCCACATGCCCATCTACTCATTGCACAAATCACCAAGTGTCGAGTGCTGAAACCTAAAACCCGGTACTTCAAATGGACATGAATTCTGTATTTGTATGTATTATCCATTGGTGTAGGGTTGAAATAATTTGGGAATTGTGTTTGTCAGTGCTTGGTAGTTGGTAGTTGGTAGTTGGTGGTTGGTAGTCAATATAGGCAAATGGTAATGAAAAATGAAAGTTGTTATTACGCTTAACTTCCTTACCGAAGGTTGTAGTCCGAGTCTAGGGGAGTGTATTGGTAGTCTTTTCTTGTCCATCAGTTATCATTTAACCGAGATATAAGCTAAAGAAATCTGAAACATTGGCAATAATGAAAAATGAAAGTTATTATTATGTTCAAGTTCCTGAACAAAAGTTGTAGTCCGAGCCAAGGTGAGTGTATTGGTAGTTTTTTCTTGTCAATTGGTTATCTCGTTACTCGGTACTTGGTACAAGGGAATCAGTACTCGGTATTTGGTTCTATACTCGATACCCGAGAATCAGTAGTCGGGTACTCGGTACTCGGTTCTGATACTTGGTACCCGAGAATCAGTAGTCAGGTACTCAGTACTTGGTTCTAATTCTTGGTACCTGTGAATCAATAGTTGGGTACTCCAGCCAATAGTCCCGAGTCCCGAGTACTGATACTTGGTATTCAGTAGTCAGGTTTGGAACTTGGGTCTTGGTTTGGTTATCATTTGACTGAGATATTGGTAGGCAATATTGGCACTCGGAGCTCGAATACTGACTATCAACTATCAAGTGTCGGGACTTGGTAATTGGTAGTTGAGACTTGGTGCTTAAATGGATATTGCATATATACATAAAAATACAAAATATGTTCCTATGTGTTCATTTCTAGGTAAATAGACTTTGAAATTATATCTCAATCATCTATTCAACAATAGAAACAATGTATCAGGAGCTCAGGACCATAGGGTAATCCTTTATTGTATAGTGTACCTCCCCCTCTTCTGGTGGTTCACCTGCTGGGGTTTTTTCCCTGTAGGACTGGACCTCAAGGACTGTAGGGAGTCTATTCCTGAGCATATTCGGAGTAGATATATCATATAACCAGCCCGGGACACACAGGATCCTTTTCCAGGAACAAAGCATAGACAATTGCACTTGTGACATTTTTTCACGATTTTCAGTATCTTGCCCTTGCATCCATGATCCAACCTTTTAATATATAATGAGCGTAGCTTATATTCTTGCTTCTTATGACCAAGATCAGCTCACAATAGGCTGGAGTTTGTGAACTAGTGTGTATACTTGCCATTTCACCTGATAAGGGGCCCATGCCTTCAAAACATTGAATCTTCATAATCAGAAACCTGGGGTACATTTCAAATATCTTAAGTATCATAGAGATAAATTTACAGACAAATCAACCAAGAATTGAGTACTGAGGAAGTGAAATGGGTAAGAAATTGAGTGTGGGAAACTTCAAAGACCCAAAGCATCGAAAATGGTTAGTTGAGCAGTGGTAGGACTTTAATGCTGGGTCAACTCATATTTTCACTATATCCCTTCTACCCACCCCCTACCCTCAGGGCAGTAGGCAGTATGGGTTCCTTGGGTAGTTTACGATCTATCCTACATATTTGTAATGATATTTTTGGCCTGAATCATATATAAATGTGACTTTGTATAAAAGATGTCTATTGTCACTCTCCACACATATGTCATTTTGCCTATCATTACATCAATCCTTCATGAATCTTTCTAAGCTTTTAAGCTATTATAATGGATGTATATGGGTGTTATTCCAGGTCTCTGATCACATCACAGGCTTGTTATGTTGGATATCTCGACATAATGTGCAAGTCTCGCTATTAATATTCATTCTTTTATCTTTAGACTCACTTACTGCACACATGTATTTCATTTGTCATTATTGATGTTTCGGATTTCTTTAGCTTATATCTCGGTCACATGGTAACCAATGGACGAGAAAAGACTACAAATAAACTCACCTAGACTCGGACTACAACCTTCATTAAGCTGACTACTGATTCCCGGGTACCGAGTATCAAAACCAAATACTGAGTACCAATTACCATGTACCGAGTACTGCGTAATGAGTAACAAGATAACCAATTGACAAGAAAAGACTATCACTACACTCACCTGGACTTGGACTACAACCTTCGGTAAGGAAGTTAAGCATAATAACAACTTTCATTTTTTCATTATTGCTGATGTTTTGCCGAATGACAAGGAAAGACTACCAAGACACTCACCTTGATGTGGACTACAACTGTCATTTTTCATTATCATTTGCCTATATTGACTACTGAGTCTCGAGTACCGACCACTGACCACCGATCACCGAGTACCAAGTACCGAGTGCTGACAAATACAATTCCCAAGTTATTTGAACCCTACACCAATGGATAATACATACAAATACAATTTGTGTCCATTTGAAGTACCGGGTTTCAGGTTTCGACACTCGACACTTGGTGATTTGTGCAATGAGTGAAAAATGGACATGTTGTGTACATGATTTTGGGTTTCGGGCTTCGGGTTTTGGCCCTCAGCACTCGGAACTCGATGATCTGTGTAATGTAAATGAACAATGAACATATTGCACACCCGGTTTTGAGTTTCGGGTTTCGGCACTTGAAACTCAGTGATTTGTGCAACAAGTGAAAAATGAAAATGTTGCATACATATTTTCGGGTCTCAGGCTTCGGGTTTCGGCACTTGGCACTTGGCACTTGGTTATTTGTGTGATATAAATGAAAAATCAACATGTTGCACACTGGGTTTCAAGTTTCATGCTTTGGCACTCGAAACTCGGTGATTTGTGCAGTGAGTGAAAAATGGACATGTTGCGCACATATTTTCGGGGTCCAGGGTTCGGATTTCGGCCCTCGGCCCTCGGAACTCGATGACTTGTGTAATATAATTGAACAATGGACATGATGCACACTGGGTTTCGAGTTTCGGGTTTCGGCACTCAAAACTCGGTGATATGTGCAATGAGTAAGAAATGGACATGTTCCATACATATTTTCGGTTTTCGGCACTCAACACTCGGAACTCGATGATCTGTGTAATGTAAATGAACAATTGACGTGTTGCACACTGGGTTTCAAGTTTTGGGTTTCGGCACTCGAAACTCGGTGATTTGTGCAGTGAGTGAAAAATGGACATGTTGAACAATGGGTTTCAGGGTCTCTGGTTTGAAAAATAGCATAATAACAACTTTCATGTTTTCATTATCATTTGCCTATATTGACTACCGAGTCTGATAAGGGACCCCTTGGATGATCCATTGCTCAATGAAATACTACCTGATTGGAAGTGTGCTGGTTATCAGATATTCATTTGTCGACTCCCGGGTCCTGGAACTCAGAAGTTGGTATGGTTGACCCAAATTTGGGTGGTCGGAACTTGGCGTCTCGTAGGGCAACACAAGCTTCGCACCCTGTATTCCAAATTCTGCAAGACAACCTGTGCACCATCAACGGCCATGTCAAGAGATCACCTGCTGCTCTGGGAACTTGGTAACTTTGATTTATTACCTCCTCTGAGTACGGTTGACCCAAAGGTTGGTAATCGGAACTTGGCTTCTCGTAGGGCAACACAAGCTTCGCACCCCGGATTCCAAATTTTGCAAGACAACCTGTGCACCATCAAAGGCCATGTCAGGAGATCACCTGCTGCTCCGGGAACTTGGTAACTTTGATTTATTACCTCCTCTGATTTGGTTGATGTACAACTACCTCAGCTCCATCATGTCTACAATTATGATACACATGGGCCCACCCATCTATATTTTATACCACCCTCGGCCCACCCATCTAATACAACATCCCATACAACACCCTCGGCCTACCCGTCTAATTAATATGTGTCTGGGCCTACCCATCTAATTTAATATGTGTCTGGGCCCACCCGTGAATGTGATAACAAGTACCTACCCATCTATCTCATACACATCTACCTTAATACACCCATCTGCATAATATCCAACTACCTCGGCCCACCCGTCTACCTAATATTCATATACATTGGCCCACTCATCTACTCTATATATTTCCTGCATGGGCCCACCCGCCTCCATCAGGAATAATTTCCCTCCTGGCCCATCCGTCATAGTCGAGGATATTTTTATCATGGGCCCATGGTCCGCTGGCCCGTATCATACGGGATATTATGCATGTCCATTCCCTCGTATTATACGGAGATAGGTCACTGTAATATGTCAAATTTTCCCATGTGGAGAGTAAAAAAGATGAGAATGGTAGCCTATACTAGGATGTTCCAATTTTTGTGATATTAACATTATTATTTACTTGCTATTCCATTAGATAATGATATTCCAACAGCTCAAATTTGACGCGGCAACGTCATTTTAACTTGACATCCTCCCTGCACAAACACCACCACCAACTTGCATCACATCATTTAGATTGCTATTTCACTCATGCCTTACATCCGAAAATTCACTAGAGTCACCAATCAGATACCTCTGAATGAATTTGAGGTCCTTGCCCTTGAAACTCATCTGGATGACTGGAACTCTGCTACAGGCGCAGTGCGCAAGAATGTGTTGATGGAGGTAACGGAGCATGTACAACCTCTTGCACCTCATATGCATCAATGGAGATTGAAACAGCAGAAATGGGTGCGTGAATTTGTTCTTGTAATAAATGGTCATCTGAGATGACATTTACAACAGTTATACCTGGAATGGTTTTATAGCAATGCCTCTGGCCGAAAAATTATATGCAAGGATATTCGTCGAGGACCTGTGGCAATGAGTTCGGTCACTTGGAAAAGTAGCTTGAAGTGGGTTGTAAAGAGGATGTCACAGACCGATGTAAGACCTATGGTCTTTGCGGCCTCGTATAGGCCTTTTTGTGTTATCCCTCTGGTTCTAATTGCAGTAAGCGCTACCATTGGTATAGCGCGCATATCTTATATCGTCGGCCAACGTCCGCGGCTCTCGCGCGCGCTTTGGCTAGCGTCGGCTTCCCTTCGGATCCGTCACACGTCCTCCGTCCATCCTATCCATATCCTCCACTGGTTCATTGGTGCGTATATTACTTGATTCCCACCAGACTAACGACATTTCCCAAGCTATTCCATTTATATTGTCATTAAATGTGTCATGAACCCTATTTACATACATCTCGCTACCTACTCGGCTCCGAATATCGCTTATGCGCACATACATATATCGGATACTTAGAATTTTCATGTAGCTTCTCTCTCCCATCAGAATTTATCACCCATTTACATGCAAAGTTATAAGCCTTGACTAAAAGTCTAAAAATCTTCGGTACTCTCTCACGCGCACATTTCTATTGGCGGCAATTGCCTTGTGTTCACATATCTATAACATCTAACACTCTCGGCGCTCGTCATCACTTGGCTCCGCCCTCGCGCCTTCAGCACCTCCTCGCAACTCACCTTCGACTAAACTGTGTGTTTTCGCGTTTTTGTCATATCACGGCTGCTCGCGCTCGCATCGTATCGCATCGCATTGCGCCTTATTAGCGCCTCGTCTAAGCGTATATCGCATCGCACTTTCGGCGGCTTGCTCGCGCTCGCATTGCATCGGCTTCGGCTTTCGGCTTTCACGTATTCTTTTAGTCTCAGTTACCCTTATTAGTTTCTACGTTTCCCCTCACACTTTTACTTAGAGGAATCATCCTCAGTAGCAATCCCCTCGGGCCGAATCTATACTCGCGTCCAGAGGTCTATTTGAGTTTTTACCCCACTTCCCCCTTTCTTCCCATTTCACCCCTTCTCATCTAGCTATCATTCCTCGCACACAACTGGAGCCCACCACGAGGGGTCCATCTGGTTTAGTTTTGATTAAGTGATTTTGATTTTAGGATTTCCCGACGAACCTGTACTTCGGACCCAACGACCCAACGATATTTCCGATGTACCCGCAGTTTTTCCCATCATGCCCGACAGATTTGGCAAGCCATTCAGGACAGAACAATCAGCCCCAAGATTCACTGGCGATGTTTACGGAGTTTTCGCATTTTTGCAATCTGTAGACCAACTCAGACAAAAGTGCAATTTATCGGACACTGAGTTCATCAAGTATACTCTCAGATATATCCAATGCGACCACAAAGAACTATGGGCAGGATGCCCTGAGGCCCGAGGTACATCTTGGTTAGAATTTACTAACGAAATTTTGTTGTCCTACCCAGAAGGAGGCATACACGAGTATACCCGACCCGATCCGAAGCCCGAAATACCCGAACCCGAGGAATCCGATGGTTATGAATGGTGGACACTTCCCCTAAGTGACGAATACACACCCGCACAAGAACACCTAACTTCAGAAATAGAAATCTCTGCACCCGAAGACCCTATTGCAACATCCGACGCCCCAGAGGGAGTCCGAAGTTCCGAAATTTCGGACTTGACCTTCGGACAAGTTCAGTTACCATTGGAACAATTGGATGTATTCGTAGAAGTCATTGATGCAGATGTACTAACATCAGAAGTCTTAGATTCAGAGCTAACATCACTAGAAGACAATGTACCCGAGATACCCAAAACATCGGCCGATGAATTCCCCGAAATATGGGATATTTGTACCAGGAGTTTGGATCATGAACTTGTTTTACCTTCTCCAGATTGCACTGATTATTTTATTCACGCAGTAGTGGTCACTTTATTTCTCACCGGTTATGTCACTTGGTCTAGGTATCATTTTGAATTGTCACACCCAAAAATCCGCACATCAAAACCCAAAACACCTGAAACACATTTCCCCATCATCCTGAAGATATGCCCTGTTTACCCGCAGTTTCCCTGCATAGTTTTGCCCTACCGTCACCCATCGCATCGGATCCGAATTATCCAACTCCATCATCTGGTCTACCGACGCTTTCAATACCCTCGTCCATCGCACTCCCAGATCGTGTTTTACCAGTATGAAAGCCAATGACGTCTTTACCTTAGGAAAAAGCTATAGTTCGAAACCCCGAAATTTCGGGTAACGCGATACCCGAAAACGCGCACATATGTTCATAGCTTGCACATACTAGCATCGCACGTTTCACCCCTGTTATGACTGGGATGAGTCGAGCTATCTGTGTCTGAATAGACAATCGGCGGAATGCCAGATAGACGGAGGTCTGCTCTCGATTGAGAGATCAAGGGTTCTGGCTAAGGCGAGTGTCGTTGACTCCCTTAGAATAGTGGTTCTTAGACAGTAAGGTTGGAGACCTTACTGAAGGACAATGTTCCAGGTAAAACCCAGTAGATTAAAGTAAAGAATACAATCGGTTGGTAGCTAGTCTATATAGCTAATGTTCAAGCGGAGCTTGTAAATGGTTATCAAGATAGAAGCATGATAAGAAGAAAGATAAGGCGGACAGCCCGCTTGGTGAAGATAAGAGATAAGCATGATACGGACGGCCCGTTTGTAAGCGAGATAAGAGAAATGAAGATAGGGGTAAAATGTTACTGTAACAACCCCGGGATTAGGCCGGTGTTCATATCTCAATAACCCGAAAAATCCCTATCCTCATACATCCGCACCTACAGAAGAAACTAATAGTACACAGACATTCAAATCCGAATGCGCGCTAATGACCCCTATTCATATAGCATTTCATCTTCGAACTGCGCATAGCGCGCGCACCCTTTTATATACGTAGAAACACCCGAAAACCCGAAGAAAGACAGTCAAAAGTTGCATGAAGAAGTCAAGTCAGATGGTAATCTGTGTCCCTAGTATCATCTTGACTATGTTATCCGAAAATTCATTTGGCACTTATGATTATTTTTTTTCATTGTTTTTTATTAGACACCCTAGTGGGGGATGATCTAGCATCGAGACACAAGACACGAACACAAGGGACACAGGACATACATGGAAACTTCAGACATCGCATCGGACCCGACACTTTGACATTTCGGACATTGGAAGAATTCATCTGACATCACGCTTTGACATTCGGAAAACATGCGGAATACATTGTACAGCTAGGAGAAACACTAGTTGGTAGTACAGAAGCAGAAAAAAATTGAAGGAGACAGAGTATTCAGAAACATGCCTTTTTGGTGACATGCGCCCACATCATGTCCAACTCATTCGCAACTTCGGACATCAGCCCCTGGATAGTACGAAACTTCGCATAGACACCGTGAAGCTTACCCGCCAAAATCAGGTCCTCTCCGCTCAAACCCGAATCCGCAAGTGCGAAATCCTCTTCCTCTACATCCGCCAACTTCCTTTTCCTACCCTGAATCAGCACCACTGGCTTTGCCTTCGAAATGCGCGAGACGGATGGCATATCTTCACCATCGGAAATCGTAATAGGAGGTTCGGATCCGAGCGAAGACCCGACCCGAAATTTGGAAGCCGCCATCGGCCGACGTGCAGACACTTTGCCCTTGGCGTGCGCTAAGTACAGGAGTCAAAACACTGAAAAATGCGAACAAGAGGAGAACTCACCAATGCGAGAATAGGAACATGCCTGTTTAGAGTTCCGGCACTCTGTACACCCGCGTTTTTCGGGTCCAAAGCATTCGGTGTCACGCTTAGCGCAGCAATCGCAGGGAGGGTTGTGAAGGATCATCCCATCATCAGAATCATCATCCTTGCGAAATATCTAGCATAAGACAAACGCAAAAATCTCGGACTTACCTTTGACGCAGGTTGCTTTGCCTTGCGCACCCGAGTCGGCTGCTTAATCGGAACTTCGGATTCGCCATCCGCATCTTCTTCTTCATCACCCTCACCTTCCATCGAGACATCCGCAGGTGCGCCTTGAGGTTCGGAAATTTCGGCCTGACGCGCGGCCATTTCCTTGAGCGCATGCAGCTGTTCCACGAAGCGATCATGAATCCCCACCAGTTCCTTACCCCTCGCAACATCCTCCGCAGTCAACGCAAGTGCGACACCCTTATCCTTTCTGGCTGCTATAAAGATTCCGATATCGGACTTTCGGATATTAGCACGAAACACCCGAAAATCACAGCAAATGCGATGCACCGAAATCTTGTTCCACCTCCTGCACCATTCTTCCTTTTCCACCATGAGATCCGGCCTATCATCTGGTATGCACTTCGATTTGGCCTCCATCTTTTGCCGAAGTTCCGAAAATCCACTTCAGTCAACCACTTGAAATGACCTCTTAGGTCTATGTGTTTGTGGCTAGCAAAGCACCTAGTAGGTGTCTTCTAGGATGGTATTCCCATTATTTTACCCTATGTTCTGGGATGTCCCGGCCCACTCTGAATGCAATATTTGGGCTATCCCTAGTACCCATTTGTGATCTTTCCCAGTCCCATCCGGGATAAATTTGGCATGTCTCTAGGACATCCCGGAGCATTTATCTCATGGGCTTTCCCAACATAAATCAGAGTGATAGGGGTCCTTTTAGAACATTTTGACGGCATTAAAATTCACAATTTGTACATTCATAGAAGGAGTAGTACTAGTTATTTAAGGGTGATCTATGCGCTTGAACCACAATTTTGAGATATACCACAAAACTGACCCTTGCTAGCATATATAATGTTTGTGAGACGCACTTTTGGGAGGGAGTGGTGGGTGGGTGCAAACCAGTGATAGACGACACTGAGTGCAGTACTAGTTGTCGAGTAATCCAATTTTCTTGTGATTGATGATACTAAGCGAGACAGTGGTGACTGAAATATTGTTTTTCACATAGACCTTGTTCTACATACGCACTCATTCCTCACACTCACACAGAACACAATATACAGATGTCAAATAAAATCAGGCCACTGGCCTCATGTGGCCTATTGTTCCAGTGTGTCTTGAAGATGTCCACCTTATCATCGTTCAGAAGAGAATATATGAAATCATCCATTTATCAAGGATTTATATCTAGTATGTAGTTGTCCTATGGTTGAATATCATTGTATAGATGAAAAAATAAACTTGATGTCCCATTGTTTTTCAAAATTGGATATATTCTATTCTAAATATTTTGCCTATGGGAAGTCATCCATTACTATCTGGGCTGTCCCGCTGACCCTAATTACACAGTTTGGGCCCTGCCACCTACCTCTCTACTACTATCTGGGCTCACCCGCCGACCCTGATTACACTGGTTGGGCTCTCCCATCCACCTATCTACTACTATCTGGGCCTTCCTGCCGACCCTAATTACACTGGTTGGGCTCTCCCGTCCACCTGTCTACTACTATCTGGGCCTTACCCGCCGACCCTGATTACACTGGTTGGGCTCTCCCGTCCACCTGTCTACTACTATCTGGGCCTTCCCGCCGACCCTAATTACACTGGTTGGGCTCTCCCATCCACCTATCTACTACTATCTGGGCCTTCCCGCCGACCCTAATTACACTGGTTGGGCTCTCCCGTCAACCTGTCTACTACTATCTGGGCTCACCCGCCGACCCTGATTACACTGGATGGGCTCTCCCATCCACCTATCTACTACTATCTGGGCCTTCCCGCCGACCCTAATTACACTGGTTGGGCTCTCCCATCCACCTATCTACTACTATCTGGGCCTTCCCGCTCACCTAAATTACACTGGCCGGGCTCTCCCATCTAGCTATCTACTACTATCTGGGCTCACCCGCTGACCCTGATTACACTGGATGGGCTCTCCCATCTACCTCTATACTACTATCTGGGCTTTCCCGCTCACCCTACTTATGCTCTTACATGCTGGTTTTGCGCCCAGTCAGTCATACTGACAGTCCATGTCATTAAATAACATTGCAGTTTGACTCCCCACCCACTTTGACTACAACTTGCACTGCTCAAATTCTTTCAGCAGCTCAACAAAGCTACATCGTCAACAGTTCTACCCACACCAACTGAATGCAGATACGAACAGGTGGTGTCCCAAAGATCCCCGAGCGGTGGGGAAGCATGCTTTCAATCGCTGGAGGAGGACGAGAGCAGCGAAGGTAACAGATGAGTGCAACTTTGTGCGGTGGGAGGCATATGCGATGAAATGCAGGAGCTTGACTTGAGAGTTAGAAGACAATGGGGGTTATTCAGGACAAGCAAATAGATGGGTGATGAACCTGGCGCACAACCGCGAAGGCTGCTCATGACCATAGAATGGGTCAGAGTGTCTTGTGGAGGGTTGGGTTGATTGGGGTTTGGATGGCACCTATGTTTCCCGAAGTTGAACATGTGGAATGACGAGCGGGTAAAAGAGGTGACCAGTGGAAGAGGGGGTTGAAATCTAGAAGCAGGCAGCTCGATGTTGATGGTGTCGCGGTCTGCCATCATGATAGCATGAAACGAGGACTTAGAAGAATTTTCAAAAATACTCACCTTCGCCCAAGCTACCTTAAAAAGAGGTCAAAAGCAAGGATTTACGGATCTGGTTAGTGGTGGGATAACAAGTGTTTGAAGAGACTAAACAGCGGTCGGGAAAGATGTGTTCGCGAAGTCTGAAAAGATGCTATTTACATTTGTTACTTCACCAAAATTACCTAAAATCACCGACATGTCTGCTTTGCGTACGGTTAGCGGCCAAGTACATTTTGAGTCCGTTTAGACCTGGTTTCTCCCTCCGTTTAGCATGCGTCTAAAAACTTGTTTCCGCAGTGATTGCTAGTGTGGTAGACTGATTAGTTGCAAGCCCCTTGCAACACACTTGCAAGTTCTTTCTGTTGGACTTAGTGAAGCATGACGAGTGTGACTCGGAACTAGCCGAGTGGCTGAAACCTTAAAACATCGAGACTGATTAGGACGGTGCGCAAAGACTTAGCAACATTTTGATGATATGACCCGCAGTCAGTAGTCATACAATCCGGCGTGTCAGAAATATTAGGATTTGTAGTGTAATGGTTTGCGTGCGTGCGTGCGTGCAAGCGCACCGTGTCGATCTGAGTGTGAGTTCGAACCCACTGCCATGCATTTTAAATTTTCGTGTAATTTCTTTTCTTCAGTCTGCCTCTGACAACAAATCAGATATAGTGCGAAAACCATGATATTAATATTTCACAGGTTTCAGGGCCTCGGTCGGTAGTGTACACATATGATTGCAATATACAAATTCAAACAAAAGGTAGACAGACATGACCTGTATTGTTCCGACACACGAGAGTACTATAATACGAAGAAATGTCAAAGCTTCATCCGCGCAAGAGATAACTGAAGGGATGAGGTACACGAAGTACAGCAGTGAGAGGTACACGAAGTACAACAGCTAAAGAGGTACGCGAAGTACAAAAACTTGAGGCGCTACTATGACCAGGCAAGCAAAAGTCACGTTGAATGAGTAGACAGCACAATTCTTGTCCGAACAACGTTAGTAGCGAAACCGCGAAGGTCCGTCTTCATAATGAGAGTCACCAGCTCCCCTTACTTGGAACCTCTGATTGTAGTCATTAGCATGATTGTGCCGGCGTGAGTGAGCAGGACGTCGATGATATGAATCATCCTCGCTATGTCCGACAGGAGATGTCTCACGTTGTCTGTGGGTGGGCCGATAGTGCCTTGTGCGAGAGGGTCCATCTCGCTCAGGGTAGACAGGAGGTGAACGTGAATATTCACGGCGGCGGTTTGGAGCAACAAAGTTTCTGTCCTCGCGACGAGGGTAGGGCTCAATTCTAAGCCATTAAGTTAGTATATGTTGGAAGTCGTGAAAGGTAAGACATACTCCATGTCTGCGTCATTACGAGAATTAGTGGGACGTTCCTCCATGTGGCGCACGAATGTAGGGTCGACCTGAAGAGGATCAACATTGGATGAAGACGGAATAGCATAGCATTTACCCGTAAAGCTTTCTTCGCCTTAAACGGCAGGCTAGTCTGTTGTCTTCCACCGCCGACGGGTTCATCTCTGCTCATAGGCAGAACAGGGCGAGGTTCACGATCAAACAAATCTGGCGCTTGAGGAAGATAATTTTCCTCGCGGCGATGTACTGCTGAGGAATTCGTAGGGGGACGTTGGTTTGATGGCAAGGTTGGGGGGCTCGGAGTGACAGGGGATTCATGATCACTTGGCAGCGTTTCGTGAGTATCCGGATGTGCTTCATGAGCTGCTAATAAATCTTCAGGGACAGACGCCTTAAATTTTGCGGAGTCGACCAGCTTGCGTAGGACAACATCCAAGGCACTGGTCACCAAGGGAATGTCAAACATCTCCGGCACCTCGTCATCGAGCTGCTTGATACATTCTTGCACAACTGAAATGAGAAAACAAACGATACAATGATAACGTGGAGATGACATACCATCTGGCCAAGCTGCGAACTCGATCTCGGGTACATCGACGTCTAATTCACTTATGACGTCTTCCACGGTGCGGCCCTGACCTCGGTGCTTGCCCTTTGACTTCTTTTTCTCTATCTCGAACAAGCTCTCAGCTTCAGTGCGGAGTTCCGCCTCGTAATAGGAATGCGCTTTGCGCTTGATGAAAGGAACGACGAGTAGCTTGAGGTGCTGTGAACTTAGGTTGTGAGGATTGAATTCGGGACCAATAGGGAGGACGTCGTCAGGCCAGTTATTAATCATGAACTTGTACTGGAAAGCATAGTCAAGAAGCTTCCGCCACTGGACTGCTTTGGGTCGATACCCAAACTTCGCTATTTGAGCCGACTTCAGTGAATCGTTGTATGTGGACAAACTTGAGTACTCACAAGTGTGCTCGAGTACCATAATTGGCCATATCCTCCTGTAACGGTCGCGGGGAGCCTCGTTTGGCTTTGAGAGTAGAATCTCATAAGCCCCTAGTCTCCCCATAAACTGCGGCACGGATATATTGTAGCCTTGCGCTCTGTGAATATATCAGAAGGTAGGAAAAACCCAGAAGGATCAGACATACTTCGTTGCGGTCACGACCCAATATAAAATTGAGCGAGCATCCAGTTGATGCTCATTGATCAACTTGACTATGAGGTCGGAGCCTGCGACAAAGCCAGACGCCTGTCGAGCAGCCTCGTCTTGTGTTGTATCAAATATACAGCCGATGGCCTCAACTCCTTCAAGGCGAGAATAAGCAGACATCTATATTGAGTCATTAGGCGTAGCTTAGAATGCGCTAAGGAAGTAGATGTACCTTTCTTGCAATATCCTCCCTCATTGACAAGATGGTCTTGGCGCGTGATTGATTGGTACTGTCGCCAGTAACGTTAAAGTTGCGAATTA